ACAAACATGTTATATCCTAAAACAAGCACACACAAAAAAATTAGATAGGAAATCCTATCTCATCTTCAAAACACCATAAATATTTCCCACAAGTCAGCTTCCTATCAAATATTTATTCTTTACTTCTGTGATACTGATGCCTAAAGATACATTACAACTTGTATGTGCATATGATAATGATGTGGAAAATAATGGAACCAGAAATGTTAATAGAGATTTACAACCATTAAAAAACACAGGATAAGACTAAACAAGGTCCTATTCAACTGGTTTAAACTTTCAACCAAATAGAGATTTAAATTCTTCTAAATCAATCCATGTGCACACATTAACCAATAAGAAAGTTAAATATGTTTTGTGGCAAGCTAAAACAAATATTTGTTTTTAGGTTAGGCTAACATCACCATCTGGTGTGGGAAAGCTAGAATGTGATATTCCTTTTGGGCATTTTGCATTATCATATTTAAGAACTGGTAAAACAAAAACAAATTCTAAGTCTTAATATGACAAGTGAAAATACATATAGGTCCTCAGAACTTGAAACATTTTCTCCAGCATACTCAAAACCACAAAAAGTTTCAAGGACTGTAAGCTTAGCTGGAGTACAAATCAAGACAAAGTCTACTGCAATTTACTTTGTTTATGATTGAGCTCAAAAGTGGGCAAATCTTGCTATCTAAGAAGCCTGGGTTAATGAATTAAAGTAGGATGAAATAATAGTTTTCTTTAGACCCACAGGTTGAGAACCGCTAGCAGGGTCGCCTAAGATCATCAGAAAACACAGATATTTACATTATGATTCATAACAGCACAAAATTACAATTATGAAGTAGCAACAAAAATAATTTTATGGCCGAAACCGGTTTGGCTCAGCAGTAGAGCGTTAGTCTGTGGACTGAAAGGTCTCAGGTTCGACTCTGGTCAAGGGCATGTACATTGGTTGCGGGCACATCACCGGTAGGGGGTGTGCAAGAGGCAGCTGATCGAAGACTCTCTCCCTTCCTCTCTGTACAAAATCAATAAAATATATTTTAAAAAATAAACAAATGAAATAATTTTATGGTTGGGTGTCACCACAACATGAGGAACAAAAAGGGTCGCTGCGTTAGAAAGGTTGAGAACCACTGCTCTAAAGGACACACTGGATCAGATGGAAGCTGCTGGGGCGCCAGGTCCTCGCGCATTAGCTCACTGTGACTCTGGGCATGGACCACTTCCTCAAGTGAAACCTGTTCTTTCTTTGCTGCAAGCTCCTGTGCATTCTTCCTTTTTTATTAAATTTAGCTTTATTGTTATTACACATGTCCTCCATTGTCCCCCCATTACCCACTTCCCACCCCACCCTAGGCCTGCACCCCACTATTTTCTGTGTCCATGGGTTAAGTATATATGCATACAAGTTCTTTGGTTAATCTCTGCCCTCCCCCCCTTGCCCCTTCCTTCTGAGATCCCTTAGTCCGTGCCATGCTTCTATGGCTCTATTTTGTTCATTAGATTCCACATATAAGTGAGATCATGTGATACTTGTCTTTCTCTGCCTGGCTTATTTTGCTTAGCATAATTCTCTCCAGGTCCCTCCATCATGTGGTCTCAAAGAATAAGAGATCCTTTTTTTAACGGCTGGATAGTATTCCATGGTGTAGATGTACCACAGTTTTTCTTATCCACTAATCTACTGATGGGCACTTTGGCTGTTTCCAGATCTTAGCTATTGTAAACTGTGCTGCTATGAATATAGGGGTGTATATATCCTTTCTGATTGGTGTTTTTGGGATTCTTAAGATATATTCCTAGAAGTGGGATCATTGGGTCTAATGACAGTTCTATTTTTAGTTTTTTGAAGTTATCATACTGTTTTTCATATTGGCTGCAACCTTCTGCATTCCCACCAGAAGTGTACTAGGATTCCCTTTCCTCTATATCCTTGCTAGCACTTACTTGATTTGCTAAGTGATGTTGAGCACTTTTGCATATCTCTCGGTCATCTGTGTATTCTCCTGTGCGTGTCTTATTGGGCTTTGATGTGAGCAGGCAAATTAGTCCTGTGATAATTTTGATGCCCAACCTAGGGCTCCCTTTTGCCTGTAGTTTTGTGGACCCAGGGCTTGCCACCAGGCCACAGTCTAGCATCTGCCTAGACCTATTGTCCTGTAGGCAGAGGCTGGGTGGAAATCCATGACTGAGTGCCCCCAACTTACAATACTTTTTTTAAAAAATATATATTTTTATTGTTTTTTTACAAAGAGGAGGAGAGAGGGATAGAGAGCTAGAAATGTCGATGAGAGAGAAACATTGACCAGCTGCCTCTTGCGCACCCCCTACCGGGGATGTGCCCGCAACCAATATACATGCCCTTGACAGGAATCGAACCTGGGACTTTTCAGTCCCCAGACTGACGCTCTACCACTGAGCCAAACCAGATTTGGCAACCTACAATACTTTCGTTTGCAGAATAAGAAACAAGGGATTGAAAATTGACTAGATTTGGAATTTGCTCTGGTTTGGAAATTGAAGACATATTATAGCAAGGTTTCCCGAGTGACCACCTCAGGAAAACCACCCTATTCTAGGCTCAGGGAAACCAAATGGGAACTGGAATGGGGGAGGGAGTGGTTCCTAAGAAATCTTTGTCTGATCTAGTCTTCTTTTCTCAGACTTGGGGAAACTTGGCGGGAACCAAGAGGTGTGCCAGTCTTTTTGTGACTGTATTCTTTACCCGTGGAGTCTGTATTTTTTTTCTTGTGGAAGAGGGCCAACTCCGACCAAGTTCCAGCAAACCTAGGAGTTGGCGGCAGAAGTTAGTCCAGGCCTACCTAGAGGCAGCTGTTTATCTCATATTGACTAATCTAAGCAGACCTTGTATTCAAGACATAAGGGGAAGTTTGACCACTCAACCCCTCTTCCTGTTTTGTCCTGTCAGATTTGCTGCTATCAAACTTTAGGAAGATATATGTTAGATGTTGTAACTACTTGTTCCCTGTTTGTTCTGTTGTATGAACTGTCTAATCCTAGGACTTAATTAAGATTGCTTGAGCTGAAAATAAACATTACTTTGATTAATAAAGACCTTAGTAACATTGGTAATCCCATCTCTGTACCCCAATGTAGCTCTCTGGACTTTATCTTACAGAACTGGAGTACATTTAGCTACAAACCAATGGAAGAAAAAATGGGGCTAAGACAGACATTAACAGGGTTAAGACAAAGTGTTTAGTCCAGCACTATGAAAGGCTTCTTGGACTTGGTCTGCTCTATTTACCCCAGCATGGGGAAATTGGAAAGATGGAAGAGATGACAATGAGAAACCTAACCAACAATTGCTTGGAGCAATAGTCAGGCTGGTAAAATCAATTTAAAGACTGATAACAGGCCAGGTTACAATTCAACCTGGAGTCCTTCTTCCAACAAAGCAGATTTAAGAGTCCAGCCCTCGCCAGTTTGGCTCAGTGTATACAGCATTGGCCTGTGGACTAAAGGTCCCAAGTTTGACTCCAGTCAAGGGCACAAGCCTAGTAGCGGGTTTTTGGTTCCTAGTGGGGGGCGTGCAGGAGGCAGCCAATCAATGATTCCCTCTCATCACTGATGTTTCTAGCTCTCTCTTCCTCTCTGAAATAAAACAACAACAAAGAGCCTATACTAGGGGTGTCGAACTCAATCAGAGAAGGGGCCAAAATCTAAAATCCAGCCTAAATCGCGGGCCGAATGGTTTACTGAACAGTCATAAACTGTCATTGTGATGGAAACGCAGCGGAGTGCAGTGATGACAGCGCGGTGCGGGCCACATTGCAAGGCCTGGCGGGACGGATTTGGCCCGAGGGCCTTGTGTTTGACACATGTGGATACAGTTTCAGGGACTGATACTGTGTAAGCCACACAGAGAGCTTTCTTGAACTGGTATCAGGACTTGCATCAGGGACGTTCCGGCTGTAGGAATCTGTCAGATTGTCATGGCTTCCCTTCATTCCAACAAAAATGAAGCTCTGAAACTTTCATCCAGGGGTCTGACTGGCAGCCTTATAGACTCAGAGCCTAACTGTGTGGTGTGCTCTTGTTATTACTGAGCACACATATCCTGGCCAACTGCTACATCCACCATTGCTGTGGCTCCTGTTTGTAAATGCAACACCTAGAATGCCCCCCCTAAGATACAGGGAAAATGAGCTAATCCTCCCTCTTGATTAAAACTGGACACATTCTTTCTTTCTTTTCTTTTTTCTTTTACTTAAACTGGACCCGCCCAACACCCTGCTTCCTCCTCCCTACCATGTCTACTCCCTTAATCAATAAGCTCTCAGGAGAAGAGGTTCTAGTTTGTATCAAAGAATCTTAGGAACAAAATCTCGAGTCCGTAGGCCACAGAGACAGTTACATCAAACTAGAGATAACATCTAGGCCTCAGCTGTTTCAGCTCCAGACCCAGAGAAGTGGCGAAACCAGATGAAGCGATGCCATTTTTGACAGTCAAGACTAGATGCACTGGTCAACTTCTCCCTACCCTAGTATCAGTCAGTAGAGACTATGACCCTAACTCCCTTAGTCATACGATTAATAACCATTGATTAGTCGGATCTTTGAGCACTAGCTCACCTGTGACTCCGGGCTGCTTCCTGAACTAATTAACCCTTACTTTTTTTTGCTGCAAACTCCTGTGCATGTCTTATTGGGCTGTGATGTGTTTTGGCAAGTGAACCCATTTAGTAACAAAAGCGAATGAGTTTTGAATTTTATAGTTTAGCTTGCATACAATACTGAATGAGCCCTATATTATCTTCATTTATCTACCTATCAAATAGTGTCTTTATTTTATAAAAATATCATGCCACATCACCAAAAGCTAAATATAAGAGAATTTTATTTACAGAAAAGTCATAAAGATAAACAAAATTTTATTAACACAATTTTGTTAGTAATAACGAACAGAAGAATGGTTTAATATATATCATTTGATATGTGATACACATTTAAAAAGTTTTCTACTTTCATCCATTTTTTTTTTTTACATTTCAATTTTTAACAAATCTAGAAATAAGGCAGTATGTATGGGCATATTTACTAAATACTTTTAAATTATGCTTCCTTCTACATTAGATACAAAGTCAATTTTAAAACCATCTGCATACTAAATGGCCTTTTCATTATTATTCCTAAATTTAATGGAGTTAAGCAACAAACAGAACTCAAAATGAATAAAAGAAACTGTCATAAAATTTTTTTAAAATTATGACTTAAGCAATATCATAAATTAACAAAGACTTTTCCAAATATTGCTGCAAGAGGTACATTAAATGTTTTATAATGAAGTCTAGAATATTTTTATTTGTATCTTTGTCAATCAACTTGAACACACCAAAGCACAGAGCTGAATGTGAAAGGACCCTTTTTAAGCAAATAGTTTAAATGGCAGCACGTGTCATTTTAAGGATAGAAGGAATATGAACTACATGCTTTGATGTGCATATGATTTTCTTTATCCAAGTAACACTCAGTGTTTCCATTTATTCTTGAATGACAAGATTCTGTAAGTACTTGTGAAAAACAGAGCATACTTTACTGATGGAAAGCTTCCAGTCTTATTCGGTTTGGATCTTCTGGGTGTCTCAAGGCAATTCCATTACGCAGGAGCAGCTCAATATAAGGTGGCCAAAAAGAATCACTGATTTTGACATATGGATCATGCGGAACATCAAATAATCTATTTAAAAGAATCTAGGAAAATATGTTATTTTAAGGAATGTGGAAAAGAAAATGTATCATTTATACAAATATTAAGTGCCATAGCAATAAAGTAAAACTATAAAATTCTCATCTCAATCACATTTCATAATAATATCAGTATCTCAATTATTGAAATAAAATTTTCATTTATCATTAACTTTAGCTATTTCAAGTACATATTGTAAGGGGCAAAAATCTTTTGATCTCACTTAAGTATGATGATAATAGAATTAAATATTATTCCTATTTCAAAGCAATTACTTATTTTAACATACTTATTTCTAATTCTAGTAGTTGCCAGAAGTAATTAAATGATAAAAATTCAACTTTAACATGAACATGTATATTGTTTTGTTTTTCGCTAAATTCCAGTTCATATACTATTTATTTTTATCATTGATAATGTAAGTTGGAGACAAAAAATTGTTTTTAATTCTAAATTTTAGATGAGATCTCAGAGTATACTATTGGAAAATTACATATGTTTACCCAGTTAATCACTGCTAATATCAGCCACATATATGACAACTTTTGTTTTTTAAAAAAAGTTAAGTCATCCATAAAAACAGTGGTTAGTTTTAGTATAAACTGGAATTAGAAATATATTAAGATATCCTAATATAATTTGATATAACATACAAATCTAATAAATATTTGTATTTTGCTTTGTTTTCTTTTTTGCCTTTTGCTTTCAGAGCATAATTATCTATTAATATATTAAGATATCTTGAGTCATCAAAACTATATAACTGGATAAAAATAGAGACTTGAGTATCCAATTCATAAAATTACAATGAAACAAATTTAATGATATCACTCTTTCTCCTTAACTTGATAATTAATTTAAAAGGACACAATAGCCGTAATTAGCTCAGTGGATACAGTGTCGGCCTGTGGACCGAAGGGTCTCAGGTTTGATTCAAGGGCACATGCCTGGGTTGCAGGCTTGGTTTCTATCTCTCGCTTCCTCTATGAAATCAATAAAAAAGCATATATATATAAAATAAAGAAAAAGAAACACTAATTGTTAAATATCTCCCTCTTCACAGACTTTTTACCTTCCTTTCTGCCTAATTCGCAATGGATTGTGAGACCAAGATTTCTCAAATATTTAACATACTTGATAAGTGGATGACGTTCAAAAGCATTTCCTTAAAATGTCAAAGAGCCCGGATGGCATGGCTCAGTGGTTGAGTGCCGACCTACGAATCATGAGGACACGGTTCAAATACCAGTCAGAGCATATGCCTGGGTTGTGAGCTCGATCCCCAGTGTGGGGTGTGCAGAAGGCAGCTGATCAATGATTCTCTCTCATCACTGATGCTTTTATCTCTTTTTCCCTCTCCCTTCCTCTCTGAAACAAATTAAAATACTTTTTTAAAATAATAAAATAAAAAGTTGAAGTTATTTATAAAAGAAAAGGTAAATGTTAAGCAGAAAAAGATATTTCTTTACCAATTCTATAATTATTTGAAATTACTTAGTACTCACATTATGAAAAAAAGAGGCTGATGTTAATTAAGGAAATATTATGCATGGATTTCTACAATTTTGTTGAAAGAATCCTTAAACTCACTGTGCACTGTATTTTCAATAGAATGGAGAGTTGCTAACTAAAGATATAAAGTGACAGCATAAGGTTTCATTGTGTAAATATTAAATAATATTAAATATTAAATAATATTATAAAATTTTCTTGAAGTAATAATCTTGAAATATGATTAAGAGTTAGGCTCTAATTTCATGTTCTTTCAAAAAATGACACTATTCTTTCTAATGTTATATAGAAAACACAAACTAATTTTATACCTAAGATAAATTAACATAAGTATATCTAATAAAAATTGGTGTTTACTTTAAGAACTAAAGCAGTATTTTTTCTTTCTTAAGCCTATGAAAAATTATTCACAAATCACTACTTAAGAGACATCTTCAAGACAAAATAACTACACAAAACACTTACCTCTAACATTTCATGTAATGTTATCAGCTGTATAGTTGATTCTTGAGTATTTTTCTTTGAGAGAAACATGAATAACAAAGAATTAACATTATGATTCTGCCAATGGCAGAATATTAAACTATACTTATTACAAAAAATTAATACTTCTTAATTGCAATGATGCAAGGTATACTAAAACCAAACACTTATATTAAGTGATTTAAAAAGAATTCTGAATATAAACAACCTGCTTGTACTAACAATCGTTTTCATTAAAAAAAGTTGGAACAACCTCTAAGACAGTGAAATCGTTTGCGATTACTAGAAGATACAATTCAGACTATCTATAAATATAAAATGGATGCTATATTATATATATTTTATACTTACATATATAAAAGTGTAGTGTTTGAATCTCCCAATCAAAATAACCCAAACAAATGACACTGCAGACTGTATTTATACAGCTTCAGGACAGAAAACTTGCTTCCTAGGGAGCCTTGTTTGCTCATCTTTCTACAGTTCTCGACAGTCCGTAATGTTAACTAACTGGTTCTTTATCCTTGAAATGACAGAGAATCTTTTCCAATTCTATGCAAGAGTTCCTTAAACATTTGAAGCCAGCAATTATGCATCTCATGTCTTTTCCATATTAATCATTATTAGTTCCTTCAATTATTTTTAATAAGCCGTAGCCTTGTAGCCCTTCAGTATTTATGGTTGTTCTTCAAATGTGGTCTAATTTGCCTTTTTTTTTTTTTTAAATCCAATCTCCAAAATGATATTGGTGTGATTTGAACACCAAAAGAAGATTCATTTCCATAGTTATAGATGCTGGAATCCTATTCATTACGTATAAGATTGCATTAGCTTTTGGACATCTATTTCATCCTATTAACCTCTATTTGAACATACTGTCATATTTATATTTTGAATATTCACTCAAGGATTTTTTTTTCTTTGATTTTTAAAGACATTGGACAGGAAGGGAAAGGGAGAAAGAGAGCGAAACATCGATGTGAGAGAGACACACATCTATTGGTTGTCTCCTACACGCACCCTGACAGGGGGCCGGGATCAAACCTTAAACTCAGGTATGGGCCCTTGACCAAGAATCAAGCCTGACACCCTCCAGTGTGGTGGAGAATGATGACACTTTAACCACAGAGCAATGCTGGCCAGGGCACATAAACAGATTTCAAATAATGCTTACCATTTTAAAAGTTACACGTGTTCATGGAAAATATTCAAAACAGTAAAAATGAAAAATCTCTCCTACGATCCTAGCCCCTACACATAAGCACTATTACATCTTTTGATATAAATTAGACATACAATTTAATCATCTATTTTTACTCATTTAACAATAAATTGTGAGCATTTAATTTATTCCTTTGATAGTATTCAATACATTTTTTAAAAATATGTTTTTATTGATTTTTTTTTTAAGAGAGAGGAAGGGAGGAGAAAGAGAAACATTGATGTGAGAGAGAAACATGGATCAGTTGTTCCCTGCTAGTGCCCCACCAGGGATCGAACCTGCAACTTGGGTATGTGTCCTGAGTGGGAATCGAGCCCACTACCTTTTGGTGTACAGGACAACTCTCCAACCAACTGAGCCACTGGACCAGGGCTCAATAAGTTTTTCAAAGCTGCACTTTCCCCATCATATGGATACAATATAAAAATATATATTTAACTCCTCGTATTGTTGAACAAGGTTGCTTCTAATTTTTCAATAAATTGTTAATGTAATGAGGAACTATTTCTCTACATCTGTCTATGTGTATGTGTCTTTGAAATGTATAAAAAACATGCAAATATTTATCAGAAATTTATATTTGATCCTATCGGAAACAATTGCATACATGCATATCCACATGAATGTTTTCTTTAAAACTTACCCTTTTCTTTTTAACGTTTCTATCAGGCAGAGGAAAGTGGTCTTCTAAAAACTCACTCAAGGTAACCAATAGTTTCTCCTTATATTCTTTTACATCATGTAGTTTAGTTTTCAGCTCTTTAAAGGTTCTAATAGATTTTAAAATAATGAAGAGAAATAGTTCACTAACAAGATACATAAGTGTATATAACTGGTTACTCACAAGGTTGATCAAGAACTCAGTTCAAATTTTACTTGCTCAAACCAAATTTTACTAGTTTTACGAAAGTAATATTCTCTATTTAATATATAGGGAAACTAAAAGTCAAGTTATTCATAAAAGATCATGTAATAATATAAATCAAAAGCTGGGATAAGACTCACATTTTTTTGGTAAAATTTACCCCTTTTCATATTAAAAAAAAAAAAGAAAGAAAATACTTTCTCCTAACTTAAAAACATAGGACACAAAAATAATACCTTGATTCTGTCACAGTCTGATGCTTCAATTCATTGTGTAGTACAATGAGAGATTCAAATATCTGTTGCTGTTCATCCAACCATTGTTGCTCCCTTTCAACACAGAAAAATAAAACGAACAGCAGCCAAATAAAACATCAATGCCAATTCAACATATCAATGACTAATAGCAATTACAAATATACCTTTCCAAGTCTTCCTTTAACTTTTCATTCTTTGACTGAACAGTAGATAGTACCAATTCAAGATCATGTCTCAATTTTTGGAACTAGAACAAAATAATTCATATTAATTGCTTATTATTTAATCACACAACTAGTTATATTTCTGAATAATAGTAAAATTTATGTTTAATTCTAAAATTTATACTCAGAAATTTGCAGCAAAAAAGCTGAGCAGAAAGTCTTTAAAATGGACATATAGAGCAGGTGCTAAGTTCTCTGTAATATTCCATTGTCAAATTCAAAAATATAAGATGGGGTTTTTGAGCAATACATTACATATTGAAAGGCAACTTAAGGGTGAGTTTTCAGTAACCATGTAAATTAGGTCTCTTCTTAAGGAGACTATACAAAAACAAACACAAGTAAATACAACTATTATTCGTTCAACAAATACTAATTGACTATCAGGCATTGTTGAAGGGAGTCAGGGATGCAAAGGTGAACGGAACAAAAAGGGGAATCCAGACAAACAAACAAATATGTAATTCCAGTGAGTGGTAAGTTCTATGGAAAAAAGTAAGTCTAGCCCTGGCTGGTGTGGCTTGGTTGGGCATTGTATCATGCACCAAAAGGTCTCCTGTTCAATTTCCATTCAGGGCACATGCCCAGGTTTCAGGTTAAGTTCTGGTCAGGGTGCATATAGGAGGCAACAGATAGATGTTTCTCTCACAATGATGTGTCTCTCTCTCTCCCCATCTCTCTTTCTAAAATCAATAAAACATATTTTCAAAAGTAAATAAATAGATTTAGGGCAACCTCAATCAAAACTCCAGTAAGTTTTTTATGGGATAGAATGACAAGCCAACTCTATATGAAAATATAAAACAATTCTGGTAAAAAACAACAAAGTTAGATAACTCATACTATTTGTTTTCAAGACTTATTACAAAGCTCCAGTAAGTAAAACAATGTGGTATTGGATTAAGATATAATAGAAACACTGAACCAAGAAAGAAACACATCCAAAGCCCAGAATGGAGAACAAATAAAGAATCTAAAAGCAGATCCACTCATACATGGCAATTAAATTTCAGTAAAAGAAAAGTCAAAACAGTTCTTTCAACAATTTGTGTTGGAACAATTTGTATCTATATGCAAAAAATAAACCTTTATCAACAACTCATTTCATGTATAAACATTATTTCAAAATGGATTATAAATCTAAATGTGAATTCTACAACTTTAAAATTTCTAAAAGAAAACATACATGAAAATCTTTGTGACCTTAAATTGGACAAATATTTCCTATATTTGAGCCCAAATTTTAAAAGTTGATAAAATAGAATTAATCCAATTATGAGCTTATGCTCTTCAAAAGATACCGTTAAGAGAGTAAAAAGACAAGTTTCAGTGAGAGGGTTAACTCAGCAGGCCAACGTTGCACAAACTCTGCACATTACCAAGAAAAGCTTTTCTTTAGGACTGGCTTCTGGAGGATTCCTGGAAGAGAAGCTGTGAGCCACTGGAATGTTCTGCCTATTGCGAGTGTTTTGCGTATGCCCGGGGCCTTGGGCCAGTTAGTACCAGTTTGATTACACAGTTTGTTCTATGTCATTCCTGGGAAATGTTCTGGAACTTGGAGTCTGCGTAGCTGAAGTCAGTCACGGAGGCCCAGCATGCATAGTGATGGGACTCCTGATAAAGACCATGGACAACAAATGCTAAAATGCATTTGCCTGGCTTTTTTATTTGAAAAAAAAAAATGTTTTTATAGATTTTAGAGAGAGAGGAGGGGAGATGGATAGTAAGATAGGGACATCGATGAGAGAAAAACTTTGATTGGCTGCCACCTGCACACCCCTTACTGGGGATCAAGCTGGCAACCTGGCATGTGCCACTGCTTTGTTCATGAGCTGATGTTCTACCACTGAGCAACACTGGCCAGGCGAACTTCCCCGTTGAACCACATTTTGACCAAGTTGTCACACATAGTTGCAGGGAGAAGCAAACACATCCACTGGGAAAGAACAGCTATAAGCTTGGCCCACGTGCCTTTTCCCTTCGCTCATTTCAGTCTGTGTCCTCTCACTATAATAAACGCAACCATGACTAGAATTGCTCTTCTGAATGCTGTGAGCCTGTCTAGCTAATCACAGAATCTAAGAGTGGTCTTGGGGAAAACCCTGGCAGTTGGCTCAGAAGTGGACTTTGTGGTCAAAGGAATGGTGGCATCAGAGGTCCCTTGAGGTTTCAACAATTTGAATAGTTATAATTCAACAAAGGATTTCCTGCTCAGCAAACACATCTGGACAGATCCAAGTGTTGAAACAACTGAAGGGGGGCAAGTAGAAGAAAACGGGGGAGATGGGGAGGGAGAAGAGCTGAGATAGTGCCAAGGACGCAGCCTGGATCTCGTAGCCCAGAATTCCCTGTGAGGCTCAGCCTACAGAGGGGCAGAATCAGGTGAGCACTGGTGCTCCCCTCAGCAGGGAGGAGCAGAGCCATGCAGTGAGCATTCCTGAAGGAACTGTTAGTCTGCACCGTGACTGAACCCAGTGACCTGGGTAGGGAGGAGAGGCACGGTCTGTGATTAACCCAGGATTGGATGAAGACACAGAGGGGAGACCACTGAGGTTTGCCAGTCACCAGTCCTGGGAGAACAAAGCAACAAAGGCAGCTGCCAGCTTCCCCTCGCTCACACCACCCCCATCCATCACAGCTGCCTGTGGCCACAGTGGACAGCACTGGGATTTCAGATTGAGAGCACACTGCCCACCACATTCCCCACTGGGTCTGGCCTGTGAGACTGAGGCAACCTGAACACAGAAGAGATGCCCACCTTCCCAGGGAACACAGGACATTCCCATCACCCTGCAGAGCAGTGCAGGAGACTAAACAGCTTGTGCTTCAATGCAAACTACTAAAAAACAATAGAAAAACTTCTTATCAATTTATTAGAGAAATGCCACTCACATACAGACACCTCAGTAGAGAAGGAATCCACCATGAATAACCAAGATAACAGAGCAGCTCAGAAATAAAATAAAGTATCTCCAGAAAATAAACATAAAGACATAGAAATATGTAACTTAAGTAACAGAGAATCCAAGATTACAGTTCTGAAAAAAACCCTCAATGAGTTATAAGAAAATACAGATATGAAGATTAATAAACTCAAAAATAAAATCCATGAACAAAAGGAGTACTTTACTAAAGAGATTGAAACTTTATAAAAATGAACTTGAAAAACTTTTCTAACTTGGCAAAGGAAATAGATAAATCTAGGAATCGCAGATGGTTTCAAACAAGATGAAACCAAAGAGGCCCACACCAAGACACATTATAATTAAAATGCAACAGGTTAAATACAAAGAAAATCTTAAAAGCAGCAAGAGTAAAGCTGTTACTTACCTAAAAGGGAGCTCCCATAAAACTGATTTTTCAATGGAAACTTTGCAGGCCAGAAGGGAGTGGCATGAAATATTTAAAGTGATGAAAAGCAAGGACCTACAACCAAGATTACTCTACCCAGCAAGGCTATCATTTAGAATGAAAGAACAAATAAAGAGCTCCCCTGACAAGAAAAACATAAAGCAGTTCATCACCACCAAGCCAGTTTATAAAAAATGTTAAAGGGTCTTCTTTCAAAAAAAGATTAAAAAAATAAGAATAATAAAATGTCAATAAACATCTATCTTTAAATTACTTTAAATACAAACGGATAAAATGCTCCAATCAAAAGACACAGGATGGTTGAATGGATAAGAGAAAAGACCCGTACATATGCTGCCTACAAGTCTCACTTCAGACTGAAAATCACACAAAGGTATAAAACAAATATTTCATGGGGGGGGGAAAGAAGAAAAAAAGCTTGCCATAGCAATACTTATACCAGACAAAAACATACTTTAAAACAAAGGTATAGCAAGAGACAAAGAAGGACCCAGTAATTCCACTTCGGGTGATTTATCCAAAGAAACCCAAAAGACATATGCATCTGTCTATTCACTGCAGCATTATTTACGATAACCAAGATATGGAAGCAACTTAAATGTCCATCAATAGACAAATGAATAAAGAAGAACTGGTACATATACAATGGAAAATGATCACTTCGAAAGTTATATAAAGGTCTAATCACCAAGTTGTATACCTGAAAGTAATATAACATTGTATGTCAACTGTAATTTTAAAAATTTTTTTTAAATAACAGTAATAAAAATCAGAGGTCCAAAAATTATAAAATATTCTCTTCAAAAGCATAATTAATGTCAAAATAGAAAATATGGTTTTAAAGAGTCTTTATCCTATTCCTTATGGCATGAACTTATCTAAAACATTTACAGTAGGGTTACTAAAAATTCCTTCAGTGACTTACCTCTTCTTTTCCTAATGTTACCAGAACCTCTTCATTTAGTGGAAGTACTATAGAAACAAAATTAACATATGCTTAGTTAACTCTCAAAAGTCAAGAATTTGACTTTGTGGTTTCTCAGATACCCCTTTTCCTTTCCATTTAATGTTACAGAACTTCTTATGAAATATGTAAGTTTATGAAATCATTCTTATTTAGCAGCTTTACATATATATATTATTTTAGATCAATGTGCTATCACGCTTTTTGTTTTCAGTGGCTTTTTCTTTTCTTGTTTTGTTTCCACAATCATTAAAATTTAAAATTAACAACCTCTAGTGCATTCCTTCTGTGCATAGGATCCTATTCATGTATACATATACACATTTATCTGTACATATACATGTAGGAGTTAGTAATATTGTCAATGCTGGTTTTATAAGAATGGGATCATACCAGATAGTTATTATCTTTTTAAAAAAATATATATTGATTGATTTCAGAGAGGAAGGGAAAGCCAGAGAGATAGAAACATCAATGATGGGAGAGAATCATTGATGGACTGCCTCCTGCATGCCTCCCACGGGGGATCGAGCCCACAACCCAGGCATGTGTCCTGACCAGGAATTGAACCATAACCTCCTGGTTCATAGGTCTACGCTCAACCACTGAGCTACACCGGCTGGGCTAGGGATCATTAATTTGCCATTACTTTGTTTACAAAAATATAAACCTAAAAATAAGAATCTTACTTTCAGGAATTTCTTTCTGCCATTGACTGAGTTCAGCAGTTAAACATTTCACTTGCATAATTAATAATGATAGCTATAAAAAAAAGAACAAGAGAATAAAACAAAATCATTTCTTGTATAATATTCATAGCTATTCATGATGAATGTGTAGAGATTCTTTATACATTAATACAAGGTCTTAACATAAATGGCTAACATAATATCTACCTAAATTATAAAAAAAATTATCACTCCAAACAGAATTCTGCTTTAAACCAATTTATAGCTCAGAAATTGCCAGTTATATTAGTGATATTGTATTAAAAAATGATCAATTCTACTTCACCACTCAATCTAAAACAAAAGAATCTAACTACATTAAGTTTATTCCCTAAATTCCTGCGATGCGAGAGGGAGATTTTTATACACGTTTTACTAATTTTCTTTCACATGTGATACTTCTATTATAGAGAAAGGGCAAATAGCAATATTAAATTATTTCCTCTAATTAATTCCCTTTTAATATGCATAAATTTTGTGCAACGGGCCACTAGTTTATTTATAATAGCTTATTTAAGATAGTTTTTAAAATACTTCTCTTAAATCAGAAAGGGTAGAGAATTATCCAAGTGATTAAACACACTTGACAGATAAACTTCTTATCCAAAACAATGAATTCCAAAGAAAAGAAGGTTTCATACCTGAGCATTTGAATCAGTGAGTGTCTCGGTTCCAATAAGTGATAATTTATTCTGATACTTGATTTAAAAAGTAAAAAGAAAAAAAGAAAAAAACAAGTCACACTATAACCGCAAATTTCCTTTCCCTCCCCTTTTATACCAGTCAATGTCATATTATTTTAAAACAATACATAATTACCTGATATAAAACAACAAATTGTTTTCAATTCCTCACTTTCTAAGCAAGAAAGTAAGGAAGGCAGCCAAATTGGTCCCAAGATGAATACATTAAAAGAGTATACTAGACTCTATACAGAGCTTTAAAAATTAATATGGGAAATAAGGAAAAAAGAATGAAAGCGAAAACTAGGTGAGCTAGAAGCTAGATAATGGAAAAATGGGGAACAAGAGAAATCACTATAGGAAAATAACAAAAGCAGTAAGAAGACAGTTACGATTACAAGAAAATAAAGCCTTTAAGAGACATTTTTATCTGTGCCATTAAAAAAAACCCACAACTGTTAATAGCAATTATATCTGAACAAAATTATGATTAATTTAAATTTTATTTGTGCTTATTTCTATTTACAATATCTTTTTTTTTTTTAAATATGTTTATTGATTTCAGAGAGGAAGAAAGAGGAAGAGAGAGAAACATCAATGATGAGAGAGAATCATTGACTGGCTGCCTGCTGCCCACCCCTTAACTGGGGATTGAGCCTACAATCCATCAGGCCTGCTACCTGGGTATGTGCCCTTGATCAGAATCAAACCTAGGACCTTTCAGTCTGCAGGCCAAAACTCTATCCACTGAGCCAAACCAACTAGGGCAACAACATCTTTTTTTAAAATATGAGTTTAGTTGAGCCAAATAATGACATAGGCCATGGAGCAAAATCTCAAATGCTCTAGAGAATAACAGTTTTGTAGCTTCTTTTATGCATTTGAAATTAAGGATAGAATGTATATGGAGGTGGGAGAAGGTAAGGTGGGTATTAGATTACAGGATAGTTAACAAAATTATGTGCTCTCTTAATTTCCAACTAAAAATTTACTGTGAAGAATAAAATGTGAAAAAAATGACTGTGGCCTGCATCATATACTATGATACACTATCATTTGTTATTTCAAGTAGAAATAGGAAATAGAAATAGGAAAGCCTATTAGAAAACTATTGCAATAATCCAAGCAAGATGTGGACCAGGATTAATATTGAGGCCACACCAAATGTCTAATTCGGAATATATTTTTAAGATGGAGCCAATAGGATTTCCTAACAGCTTACATATACTAGTAGTGTCAAATAAAGAGGAGTCAATTATTACTAAATTTTTACCAAAATACTGTAGTGTACCAAAAGTGACTCTGTCTCATGAACTCAAAAAATATATATATTTCAAAAATAACATTTTCTAAAGTAACTCATACTTTTACTCAAACTCCAGAATTGGGTGTCCTCTAACTTCTAATTTCTCTATCTCAGGAAATAACTCCACCAATCATCCAATGGCCCAAGCCAGGAACTGGAAACTATTCATAACCCCTCACCCCCCCACTTCACAACAATTAACCTCCAAGTCCTTTTGGTCCTACCCCCTTAATATCCTTTGAATCCATTCTTCTTTTTGCAATGACAGGATTTAGCCCTTCAGTACTTCTTACCAGGACTACTACTACAGCCTCCTAAATGCTCTTTCTACCTGTAGTCTCACTTTTCTTCAAAACCACCAGAGTAATTTTCTCAAACTACATTATCTCATCATGTCACTTCGTATTTATAACCCTTTCATGGCTCCCCACAGTATACGCTCAACAAAACTGGTCATGTTCTTGCTCTTAATTACCTCTCCAGTCTCACTTCACAAGTCCTCTTTTCCTAATTTACATAAATCATAATATTCTACATGGAGCTCTCTACTAGTAACTCTTTCAACGTTTATATATTTCGTTCCTTCTACTTTGTATACCTCTCCCAATTTCACAGGCTAACTCCTATTAATCCTTTAGAACTGAATTCAGTCACTCTTTTAGGACACTATCCTTGGCCCCTTCAGTCTAGGTTTAGGACTCCTCCTAAGTACATTATTTGTATTTCTACCACAATACTTCTAATATAATGGTTATTGCCTCCATTAGATGATAATCTCCTTGAGGGTAGTAGGGATTGCTGTAATTTTTTTCTCTTTCTACAGTTCATCTAGTATAAACTAGATGAATATTATAGGTCTAAAACTTACATAAATATTTCTCGTTCAATATAATGACTTTCAGGAACCAGCTGAATTATTTCTTTCTCAAGTCTATTATTGAAACAGAATTAAATCGTATAGTAATTAATTGATATATCACTTTAATCTCTTGATACTTACTTCTTGGAGATCTTTCCACATTTCTTCACATTTTTTAATAAGTTCTTCCTTAGCAGCTGTAACATCTTCATCTGTAGTACTATCTGGATCTAGATCTTGGTTACTCATTGATATTGCCTTGTGATTTCCTTAGCCTTATAAGAAAACCTAAAGTAAAAAATATTTGTTGAACACCTATTACTTGCCTGATACTCACCTAGGAGCTAAAAGTGTAACAGTGAGCAAAATAGATAAAAATCCCTCCTATGATGGTGCCTACATTCTAGCTAAGAAAAGCAAAAACAAGCCTAAAAATGTTAAAAATCATACTATAGTACATAAAATGATTTATAAGTGCAATGAAGAAAAGCAAAGCAGGGAAGAAATATAGCGAGTGCTGGGGAAAGGGCAATGTAATTTTACATAAGGAGGCCATCTGAAGTTACTGAGAAATTGAGAACTGAGCAAAAACAGAAAGGAAATAATTGAGAACCGGGAATGACGTGACTAGAGCAGGAGATGTGAGATAGAGAACACAAGATGAGGTCAGAGAGATGATACCATCATGTGGGCTTTAGGCCATTTTAAGGACTTAGGCTGGAAGTAAGTGATTAAAGAGGAATGACATGATTTAAGTAACATTTTAACAGTATAACTCTGGTTAATTACAGCCAAGTAAGGACAGAAGCAGGACAGCCTATTAGAAAGCTATTGCAATAATCCAAGGAAGATGTGGACCAGGATTAATATTGAGGTAGTACCAAATGTCTAATTCTGAATATATTTTTGAGATGGAGCCAATAGGATTTCCTAACAGCTTACATAGGATTGTCAAATAAAGAGAGGAGTCAATTATTACTAAACAGGTTTGGAAAGATGGAGTTGCCAATTACTGAGATGGGGAAGATGATGGAAGAAAAAAATTAAGCAAGATTAAGAATTCAGTTTTGGCCTGGCCAGCGTGGCTCAGCGGTTGAGCATCAACCTATGAACCAGGTCACTGCTCAATCCCCAGTCAGAGATATGCCCAGATTAAGGCTTGATCCCCAGTGAGGGGTGTGCAAGAGACAGCTGATCAATGATTCCCTCATCACTGATCTTCCTATCCCTCTCTCTCTGTCTGAAGTCAATAAAAGTTTGTATATTTTTAAAAAGTGTGTATACATTTTTGGGGACACCCTATATTTGCACAAGTCTACATGGGTATGCTTACTACAGCATTATTCATAAAAAAAAATTTATAAGTGTAACTCAACAGATTGTCTAGGTCTAAAACCTAGCTTCAATACTTACTAGCTGTTGACCTTGGGCAAGACACTTAAACTGACTGTGCATCAGTTTCCTTATCTTTAAAATGAAGATAATATTACTTATACCCTAGGGTTGTTGTTACAATTAAATGTATTAATATATGTAAAGCTCTTAAAACTGTACGCAGCATATAAAGAAGTATATCAATATCAGCTATCAACATTACTATTAGCAATCTGAGTATCAATTAGTAGAAAACTGGTTAAATAACTTGTGCCATATCCAAAAATGTTTTCACTAAATATCTTCCTTGCTATACACAAAAGACATAGTTAAGTTCACAAAACCATAGTCACTAACAATGTTAGAATATTTTTAAGCAAAAAGTAAAAAATATGTTTTAAATATGCCTTAATTTAGAAACTAAGTGTAAACTGATCTTTCCCCACATTGTAGACTACTAAGCAATGCAATACATTATCAGAATGCAAAAGCAATGTGAAACTGTGTGTGCTTGAGCCTGTGGATAGATATTCAACAAATTAGCTGGATTGGCAGCTCAATGTAGTATTAGAATACAATGAGGTATATAAAAACAATAAATAAAAACAACTAAAGATTTAACTCTAGCCCTTTCCTACATTTTGTATCCTTAAATCTATCTTTCTGGAAATTCTTCCAACGTCCTCAGTATCCTAATTCTGAATTATTTATTGATAAACAATACTGGTTAAATGGGGATACCATCCCTATACAAACCTAAAACACCTACTACTAAATTTAAAAAATTCATACTAATATTGGAAAAAGACTAATATACATAAAATACAGAAAGCACCCATACAATTCAAAACTGTAATCATTTCCAACAGATATGCCCTTAATGTGGCAATAGCTGTGTAGGTGAAAAAGTCTCTGTCTTCATGGAGTTTCCATTTTTACTGAGGAGAGACAATATAAACAAATGGATAGGATTTCAGATAGCAAGGAGTGCTATGATTAGGTAAGTTACACAATACAGATTGTACGTAAATGCTTTCAGAATTCAGGCTAGAGAAGAGCAGAGAAATCTACGTACCTAGAAAAATAAAGGGCTTAGTACAGTGCTGAGTACACAGTACCAGCTCCCTACCTTTGTCATTATCAGTCTTATCCTCATTATTTTTGCCATGGGTTTAACCGATGAGAAGCAGTAAAGGTGAAAGCTAGATGCGGTGTGGAGATGCTTTCAAGGCATAAAAACATAAGACTGGAAGGCAAAGATGAGCATGGCAAACTTGTGAGAGACACAAAACAGTGATCTGATTAGAGCAGAAGGCAGAGAAGAAATCAGACTAGCTAGGCAGAATAGGCCAAATAAAGGGAGTCTTTAAAATGAAAAACAAAACAAACAAAAACCCTTGGGAAGTACTTACTACCGGCAGTTCCTTTCCTGTATCTGGGGTCCACATCAAAGCAAAAGTAAAGAAGAGATTCACCTAGTGTGAAATTGAGTAGTTAAGCAGGAGGCTATTAAGCAGGTTTTTGAAAGCAGTGATTTAGGGAGGTCATTTTGACAAGTTGTACTTAATGGATTGAAAAACAAAGGATTAAGATGGTACATGTCCTGTTAGGTGCTTGTCTTTAACCATGGGACATTTCTTTCCTTTTTTGTTCATGAAGAGAGCTGAAGTCCAGAAGGCCACTAAGAAATGGAAGCCTAGACCAGGGTGAAAGCAGAAGAGTGGGTGGTCACGCCAGCCAGGGGCCACTCAGGCATGGCTGGGTCTCTCCCCAGAAAACAGTAGCAAGCGCTCACCCCCTTCTTCAGAGCGTATGGGGGGAGAGGGGGAGGAGGAATCAAGAAACTAGGGGGAGGAGGAATCAAACTTTGGGGAGAAGACCTGTTTGGAGCACTTGAGGGAGCCCAGGGAACCCGTTCCAACTCCCATCCGCTCCGTCATTCTCCTTAACCCGCGGGGTTCTAGAACCGAAGAGCGGGACTCACGGCCCCGCGGGGCTCCCCGGGTTCCCGGAGGTCAGGGTCCCCCTCTCCCGGCCGCAGCCATCCAGCCCCGGCGGGCGCGATCGCCCCGGCCCTTTTCTTACCGCAGCCACCGCCGCCGCCGCCTCCAGCTGTCAACAAGCCTGCGCCCCGATCCGCGCGCGCTGCCTGCTGATTGGCTCCACCCCAGCCAATCCCGAGCCTCCCTCGGCTGCTGACGCGCCGGCTGCGCTGCCTCGGGATTGGCTGTTGAGCTGTGAGCGTCGCGCCTCTTCTGACGCTTCTGACAACATGGCGGCGGAAGGCGGCAATGATTCCCAGCAGAGAAGAAGACGGCGCCGAGACCCGGAGGAGCCGGAGAAGACGGAACCCAAAGAGAGCGAGCTGGCCGCGGCGGCAGCCATGGCCCGAGAGAACGAGGAGGACAGCGAAGAGCGCTGGGTTGGGCCCTTACCTGTAGAGGCAACTCTGGCCAAGAAGAGGAAAGGTAGTGACAGGGAGAGGCAGGCTGCGCGCCCCGAGTGGGGGACCTGAAAGCCAGACCCCAAGATGGTGGTGTGTGTGTGTGTGTGTGAGGTTTTTGTGCCCTCGGAACCGAGGGTCGTTCTTCTCACTTGTGGCCACTCAGTCTGCGCCTGGACGTGCTCCCGAAGTAATGATTTGGAGGCAGTACAGCGTCTTCTTGATCATAGCAAATACTATTAATCTGATAGTATTTGATATGGTATATAGATGCTAATGCTTCTTTATGCCAGTGCGCACTGTGTTCCTGGCGCCTGTCCTTTAGTCCCTGCAGCGGCCTTAGGAGGTTGGAATTTATAACTCCGGTTGGAAGATGTGGAAGAGGACTGGTCCTTCAGGCGTTCAGTTCAGGGGCGGTGTCTATTTAGAATCAAAAAGTGTGTGCGTAAGTAAAGATAAGTTGAACCCTGACTCTTCAACTAATGAGTTTTGTGATCCAGGGGTAAGTGTCCTGGATCACGTATTTTCTTGGAAAACACGAGCTCTGTGGTGGTTTTCAAACCGTACTTCTCACATACCAGGACAGGAAGCAGTTTTGCTGTTAACGTGGAACAGTGACAAAATGTTATCAAACAAAACAAGTGAGTGAAGGAATAGATTACATTTCATTTTCCTTCGAGTTCTATGAAATGTTTCCTTAAACAGGTAAGACCATTAGAAATGTGACCTTTTAAAAATTCAAGTCTTACTTTATCACTTTTCCTTACTTTTTAATTATGTCTCATTGTTTTTAAAATAAAGTCCAAACGCCCTATGATGGCTTACAAGGCCTTATCTAGCCAGTATATTTCCATAATAACCCCTTGTTTCTCCTGTGCACTTGTGCCATACTCTTTCTCCACTGGATGACTGTTGGGGTATCTTGGTGTGTCTCTCTACCTGGAATATTTACCCTCTCACAATCCAGGACTGTTGGCTCCCAACTGCTCACCTGCCTGCCTTCCTGATCGCCCCTAACCACTTCTGCCTGCCAGCCTGATTATCCCCTAACTACTCCATTGCCAGCCTGATTGATGCCTAACTGCTCTCCTGCCAGCCTGATTGCCCCTCCTGCCCTCCCCTGTAGGCCTGGTCACCCCTAACTGCCTTCCCCTGCAGGCTTGATTGTCCTAACTACCCTCCCTTGCAGGTCCTCCCCTGCTGACCATCTTATGGAGGCTATTTTGTGTCCACATGGGGGCAGCGATCTTGTGTGTTGGAGTGATGGTCAATCTGCATATTACTCTTATTAGATAGGATAGAGGCCTGGTGCACAGGTGGTGGCCGGCTGGTTTGCCCTGAGGATGTCACGAATCAGGGTGGGGATTCCCTTGTGGTGTGGGGTGGCTTGGGTGAGGGGGCCTGTGGTGGTTTGCAGGCTGACCACGTCCCTCCCCCCCACCCAAGCAGAGGCCCTGGTATCTGGGATTTATTTGTCTTATATAATTGAAACTTTGTAGCCTTGAGCGGAGGCCAGGGCTGCAGGAGCTTGGCTTCCACCATTGCTGGGGAAACCCAAGCCTTCTGCTCACTCCATGGCCACAGCCGTGGCTTAATTTGCATACTTGCTCATGGTTGGCTAGTGAGTATAGTGGAGGTACAGTGGATTTGCATATTACTCTTTTATTAGATAGGAAGGAGGATATCCCAGTTCCACGTTATAATACTGAGGAAGGGAAGAAGGGTACACCTTTTATTTCTTTTGAAGGAGAGTTCTTGACTGTGTGACACAACATTTCCATTTTACCTCATTGGTGTAATGTTATACTTAACTGTAGGAAGTGAGAAAGATTATCTTATAGCTGGATGTCAGTATGCTCATGTAAAACTGGGGATTTTGTTACTAAAAATGATGGAAAAAGTAATCAATTGGACAGAGTCTGATATACAATAGTTATAAAAACTGAAATAGCTCATTTTACTTGGCAACTTTGTGGACATTTTTGGGTAAATAAAATAGTCGTTGGATTATTTTGGTAAGTACACATATACTATCTTTTAGTAGTAAAATTGCTTATAGCACATATAATGAAATGAATATTATCTCACATTATCACTCTTACAAATGTTGCCCCTGGAAAGTGCTTTGGAAGCAGTCAACTGGATACTCTCTAGGGTTTTCCCAACTTAAAAAAACCAATATCATGCTTCAAAGAGGATTAGTGCCTTAAAGATAAACTGAGACATCTTATAGATGGCTACTGGCCTCTTATTATTTAAATTAGCACTAATAATTGGATCTATATGGTTAGAAAAATGGTTGTGGTATTCATGAAGCTTTTTAAGGTTTTTATTTTTGTTTTTGAATGAAACCTTCATATTAAGCCAGCCATTCAGTGCTTAAGTTCTGGGGACAGTTAAGTATCTATGTATTACTTAAGAACTTGAGACTGGCTAAATATTAGTGCTGTTCAATATTGTGCAATAATGAAAGTTACAACTAACATGAGACACTGGATTTTTGTTTTTATTATATGCGGAATAGATAAAGAAAATCTAGATGAAAATACAACATGGAATTTAGAAATACAAAATAGTATTTAATTCGAGTTGTTAAAAACAATTTTTTTTATTTTTCTTCAGTTCTAGAGTTTGAAAGAGTATATCTTGATAATCTCCCCAGTGCATCTATGTACGAGCGCAGCTATATGCATAGAGATGTTATCACCCATGTAGTGTGCACCAAGTAAGTGTATCATATCTTCTTACATTTTTTGAAAAGATTTTTTTAAGATACTTCCATTTTGACATGGACTAATAGAAGTAACTTTAGGATATTATGGATTTCTATTTAATTTTATAGGTTCTTTGGAAGTTTAACTTAAGGCTGATATGTTCTTTCCTGTATCACACAAGGAATGCATCCTCTAAGACAGAACTCTTCAGTTTGTGTGCATGTCTTTTGGAAATAAATGCCAAAAGAAGATGAACTAGTCTTGAGTTTTCCAGAAAAGAGTATATTAGTTAA